ACCCCCAGCATTAAGTTCGCCGGTACCCATTTACACACCTGGGTGGAGAGAGGCACTGTGAGAGTAAAGTATCTTGCCCAAGAACACAACGCAATGTCCCGGTCAGGGCTCGAACCAAGATTGCTCTATCCGGAGACGAGCGCACTAATCATGTATACCTTCTATATTAAGACTGACTTTCATGACATTTTCTAGCTTTTTGGGCAAACGTTAAAGATGATTTCCAGTCCGTATTGCGCAGTCTCAGCACCATAATGTTTATAAATATTATAAGACTCACTCGATGGAATGCGAATCAATGTTATTCGTTACAAACCACATACCTTATCTTTAAAGCCTTTCAAATTCTTTTTTCAACAGCTTCATTGATTTTTACAGCTGCGAAGTTGTTTCATCAAGTGATATGAGAAAGAACGAAGCATAAAGTTTCGATCTCTTCGCATCCATAATGGCGATTGTTTTGAAACTTTGAATTTACTTCAGGTAAGTAGTTGCGAAATGTTTACATTTTGTGATGTCTTATATGAAACAGAGCAAAAAACGCAAACAAACTCCCGAGAGTGCGCAGTATACGGGCTGGAAATCATCTTTAAGACCAGTTAGCTGACTAAACCCTACTGAAGTAACGATGAAGAAACATAGAACCATTTTTTTTCTTTTTTATAGTTATTCCCTTCCTCCCCTCGAAGAGAAACAAGAAATAGATAAAAGAAAACAAGCAAATCACTGCAAGTATGTTTTTTTTGTGCGGTTGCCCCCTAGATAAATAAATATGAAATAGTTAAATATAAATAAAAAAACAAATAAATAAATACATAAACAAATAAATAAAAATAAATAAATAAATAAATAAATAAATAAACACTGATAAATAGATAAATTGCTTGATGTTAACTCAAAAGTCAGGGACTGAAAGTATATCACAACAATCCTCAATTGATTCTGAAATTTTAATGTATTCCTATCTTTTGGTTTGTTGAATACAAAATGCATTGAATTAGACCACATAAGTGTAGTATGTAATAAATGTCTAGTATTTATAACCAACATCAAGGTTTGAAAAGTAAGATTTTACTTTAATTGTAAAGACAACTAATTGATTTGTTTTAGAGAATAATGGCTGCCCGGAGTTTCTATTTGGCTTTTCTGGTAATTTCTGCGAGGAAAATTACCGTGCGTCGAGCTAAAGCAAATATCAGACTAAATTAAATGTTAATTACGTAACCATGTGTTCAAGCTGATAACAAGAACTCTATTTTACAGAAAGAGGGAAAAAGAAATGTTCATTAGAAATCTATAACCCAAGTTAATAGATTTTATCAACAAGGGATTGCGGAAATGGCACTGTGATTCAAGCCATAGTTTCTTTCTTCAAATCGTCACGATAAATCTACATCTCACAGATAGTTTGAATACACCTATTCTACGCTTATGAATTAGATAAGTGATAACAGGAAAGCTACTGTTAAGAGAGACATGCGCGTAAATCATTTCCGTAAAAGAGGAAGCTTTTTAAACATGTTATTTTCGTTAGCGAATAACACTGTAATAGTACTGTCTGATAACACACGAATAAAACTCCAGATGTGAGCCGTTTTGATCTTCTGTTCTTTGTCCTCACTTCAGCCTTTCTATCATCTGCCTCGTGTACCTTAATAGCCTTTAAATTTCCAATTCCACTAAAAGATATGTCTGGTAAACTTGCCCACCACTTATGATAGTTATTTCTCTTATATCAAATCACGACTATCTTAATTTACTTATTTAATTTGTGCAGAAGTGAACGGAATTTATCCTTAATTCAGTCTTTTCATCCCGACAATTAGGAGAATTGCCGAAGAAAACTTGAGTGCCAAGTACCCCGCTTGGCCAGTAAGAGACAAAGAAAATCCGCGTTAAACGCAGCTTTAATATACGCAAAAAATTCCCCATGATCGTTTTTCGAATATTACAGGACTTTGAAAATAAATATATCAAGAGACACAAACCTTTGTTTGCCGCAGATTTACAGATCTTCCAGGTCTTGGTCACGTTCTTGTCTTAATGAAGGTGCGTTGCTAAAGCTTCAGGTACAATTTAAGTATTATTTCAGACGCCTGTAATACCGCCCATCCATTATTTAACAGGATACCGCGGTTAGAAACCTTATAACAAAGGTATAATAAGTCTTTTTTAGATAAAAGAAATTTGCCCAATTACTACATGTTATCCTATGGCTAATTGTCTCGCGGGCTATTAAGGGTTGCATATCAAGCAAATAAGCTAATGACTACTTATCATTTGAAAATCGCTTAAGATCTACTCATGTTTAATTTGATTGCATTGTAGGGTGCTTTCTCGATAAAACAACAAGGCAACTAAGTGATAAGGCATTAATTCTGGTAAATTCGCGATTTAGACTGTGTTTACATTGCGGCGTAGAGTGAACACTCATAGTAAAGTATTTATGGACGGTCGTGAGAAATAAGTTTCAAGATGTTTACCCTGGGGATATAACGTTATTTCTCGCTGAAACAGACCTGTTAAGCTGTTTGGTTTGAACTAAAATGCTCTTCCTATACGTTTGTCGCAACCTTGAAACATATCTGTGACGCACTTTTCGCTAAAACGATATTTAGCTGATTGTAAAAACTGTTATCACCACGTATGCACACAGCAATGAACCTTTTTACGAAAGACACGCAGATTTGATAAAGTCTCGTTTCAAATATGATAACAATTGTTTTCTCTTTGTTTTAATCCTTTCCAATGACTACAACATTACAAACCAATTCTAGTGTATATGATGGGCATATGTTGTGTCATACAATTTTTCTCATCTGTCCCAGTATCAGTACGTATACAGATTTGTGTGCAATTTGCGTGATTCACCTCACTTGTACATTGGGTCAATGTCTCATTATCATCATCTGCCGAATATCATGTCGGTCAATGCTATCACGAGCAATATATCTTTAATTCAGAAGGAATCTAGTGGCTGCACACGAGTCGAGATATCTTTTGATCTACAGTTTATAATAAGACAGATACTGATGACAAAAAGATTGCTACGGTACTCAGTGTGACAGTCGCATTTCTGGCAAAACGTCTACTGATAAAATATATTTGCTCCGATTTGTCGTGGGTGAAGAATGATAAAGGTTGTCTCCGTGCCTTTGTTTTAAACTAAGCGAATAAACAAAAAGTAAACATCACAATGGCGACTGAGACACTGTGCGATGACGTCATCCTAGCTGTCGCACCCCGCCAAGTGCCAATATTAATCAACATTTTCATTTTCGGTTCAAAATATAGGAAAAAAAAATTAGTAAACCAAATTTTTCGTCTCCTGAGCTAATGAATATGTATGATATCGATTCAACAAATAATTTATAGCTCTTTTCATATATTTATAATTCAATGATCAATTACCTTCAAACTTCAATAATTACTTTTCAAAAACTGAGAATATACACAACTACAATAAGCGATCAGCTTCAAGAATACTTTTTTTTTTACTAATGAAACACTAATGTAAGGATTCAAAATACATATTGACCCACACAGCACTAATCATGAAAACCAGTCTTGCGTAAAGTAGAAGCGTAGAATATGATATACTGGCAGAGAGTTAACAAAGAAAACACAATTCTACAAAATCACTAGACTTATAAGAAATATATCTTAACATCAAACTTCCAAATAAAAACCGTGTTATGCGCTTAAGTTAGCCATCACTTAACATTGCATTTGATATATTGTTAATTCTTTTGACGAAGGATCTTCTTTGTAAAGCCTAGTAGGGGTTGTTAAGATCTCCTGTCCTCATCTATACTGCTATGTAAACAATTTATATGTATACTGTAATGGGTGCAATAAATTAGATTTGAACTATAAAGAGCCACGCCAGCAAGAAAAGTAATTTATCATTTTGCAGCACATGGTGTACGTACAACAACGCTTAATCTTCCTTTATTTAATAAACTATATGTTTCTACCTTTTTTCGTAACCAGTGAAATGATGAAACAAAACTGGATGTTTCTGTGGTTATGTCAACAATAAAAAATACTCTTCCTGTCGGTGGTGTTTGGTCTATCTCAGTTCAATATTCGAAAGAGAATGTGTGTCGACTCGAATCACTTTTTCTAACAATACATATCATGCATGCTAAACTTAACCCCTAGTAATGAACTTCTCGAAGAAGTTAGGATTGCACAATTTTTTTTTGGCAAAACCCATAATTACTTACATTGTACTTACTCTACGTACAATACGACACAAAAATATTTTACCCTACTACAGTATTTACACTATTTTCCATGCGATTCTTTCATTACAAGGATATGGTTACACTTACGCTATAAAACAATACCACAACTTGCACTACTAAAATTGCACAACTTAGCTCTGAAAAGTAAACGGTCTCAACCAAAATTAAGTAGCTGCCGGCTTGGTGAGAGGTACAAGCCTGAGTAAAGGTCTCGAACTTCCAAATTCATTTTAACTCCTCGTTAACTCTACACAGTTGTACAGACATAAGACATAGTAGTGGAATCTTCACCATGCCCACCACAAAGGCGCGCATTCATTCGATTTCAGTCACAGAAACATTATTGTGTTCAGCGCGCTTTTAGTATTTTGCTCCTTATCCAAGAAAACTTTGGTCTCTTTTAATTTTAGACCACCTTGAGATATCAGTTTAACAGCCTTACTGTCTTGACGTTTTCTTATTAACCAGTGCTTCCTCTCGCATTTGTGCAAAATTTACAATTTTAATATGACATGAAATATTCTCGGTACTTTCAAAATTCTGGAGTACGCTCTTGAATTGTAACTTCTTCGAGAAGTTTCTATGCTGATTAAAAGCTCTTGAATTTTAATTGAAACACTCTTACTCATCAGTTACTTTTATGACAATTCATTGATCTTCTTGGAGGACATTTCTCGTTTCGCAAAAAATGACCTTCAAGCAGTTTAGTTCTGTTTTGTCCTTAGTAACGGATCAATCATTTTTGCCCCATTTTACTCAACTTTTCATGGATTTTCTTTTACTTAACATGGGCGAGCGTCTATCGAATCTAGAATTTCTGTAATTTATATTCGGAATAATAATAGGCGTTGTCAACAAACTGTTTGACATTTTTAGGTTTTTCGGCTTCAACGGCAAAAATGAATTTCATGAAAGTTTGTGTTAACCATTAACTAGTACTATGTCAATCTATATACAGAATTAAGAAGTTTACCTTTCTTTTCTGAGAGAATTCTAAACCGGGATTAGCAAAGTATTTGAGGCTAACAAACGGTGAGATGTTCTCCTGGTTGGTTTGCTCCAGGCCAGTCTAGTGCAACATCATTTGGTAACACACTGCTTTGCTTTTAACCTAACCATTGTTTAGCGGGGTGCTTTCAAAACCAAATAGGATTTTACCAAAAATGGACGTTGTAAATTTGTTAAATTAGGTTTAAATATAGCTTACGTAAATAACAGAAACTGATTCCCCTAACAGCTGTAAACATATGGAAGAGTTTGCTATTTTATTCTCGTCTGAAACTGCAAAAATTTGAAATATCAAATAAAAAGCATTTTTATTGTAAGTTTTATCATTTCTTGTATCTGTCAGTCGGAAAAAACTAAAAATTGAAGAGCAAATTTGAGTTTTTTGGGCACAGCAAAACAAATACAGACATTTGTTTTAGAATTTTATATTGGATCTTTTTGAAAGAGACTCCAGCAGGGTTTAGAAAAGAAATTTCGGTGGGTAATCGAATTAATGCCCCATCAGACAAATGAGTTAGCTATTTCTTTTTTCTGCAAATATATTTTTTAATAGATCAGTCTTCGCTCCGTGTTTTACTTTTATCAGACTGAGAAAAAAAATTAATATAAACATCTTTCTGGACTTCACAGACTGCTGTTGAATTAATACTCGAGTCCCTTGTCTTTGTGTAATTAACGTCTTACGATCTTCCTTTAATTATAAGCTTTCGTTTCTATCAAGAAGCTTCTAGTAATTTTGCAAAATCCTCTCATATACATTTTTTTACTGTGTCTTACCTGCAGGCTCTTTTATAATAATTTCCAAGAGACACCCCACTTTACAACAGACACGCGGGTCTCGTGGTGTTCTTATGGCAATACTTGCATCTCACATCGCATTCTAGCTGTTTTCAGCTCTTCCTTGGCGATTACCAAATATGCTACGTTACTCCTTAACAAGTTATTTTAATTGTCACCTCAGTTTGCAACCCAGTATCATGTTTATCCGCACAGCTAGTTTTTAAAAAAGTATATTTAGTGGGAAATTCTTTTGATGAACTTTATGAGCTCGGCCTTCCCTGTTNGACCTTTAAGTTAGCTTTAAAATCAATTAATTGAGTTATTTCACCCTGTGGTTACGTCAACCATAACTACCAAAACGCCGCAAGCTGCGATTTTAAGTCGACTTTTTCCTTTCAACACTTATGTTTGACTGTCGGCTCAGTTTAACCCATATGGATACCTGAATTGCGGTTTTGAATCCTCATTAACTCGGCGCTGATAGCTCTCCCTCTTTTTTTTTTTGAAATTAATACAATTATTCTTTTGAAGAGAATTATCTTCCAACTTTGATGAACCTGACATGCCAGCCCACCATTTATGACTCAAAGAAAACTCCGATAAATCATTTTACTTGTTGCTGAGTTCTTAGAGGATTCGCATTCATTGATATTGCAACTGATTTTTTGATCTTGAACTTTTAATTATGCCCATTGTGAATATCAATCATTCTGCCTTGCTTTCAGCTTTGCTCTTGTAACAGGAAGAGGAGATCATTTTGAGTACGGAAAGAACACGTAATGAGCTCATTTTTCGTAACTCCCTCTCTGTTCTCTGTTGTTAAACAGAGATACATGTAAATAATCCCCCTTTTGGCTCAAATTTGGCACAATTTCTTGTGTTCATTGTAAGCGTAATTAGTTGCAGTAACTAAACAAGAAAGTCAATAAGTGGAATTAGTTTTTCGAAGTCGTGGGAACCCCTGTCGTAATTGTCATTTGACAAAAGGAACAAGACTCTTTCTTTTTTTCGTAAGTCGTTTTAATTTAAACTCTAAACCAATCTACAACTTAATTAAGCTTAATTTCGGTAAACTTGAAAACGTAAAAGAGCAAATGAAATATATGTTATAGCAAATTTTTAGG